GTAATCTACAAGATACCGAGTGGTGGGGAATGAGCCGATATGCCGCGAACTGAAAACGGCTCCAGGCGTCAGCCGTCAGACGTCGAACTCGCGAGTACGCATGAATGATATGGTATTTAATAATTCGTCGGGTGATTTTTGTGACAGAAAAGTGTGGTAGGGAACACTGTAAGGATGATGTGGATAATAGTAAGGAACAATGGAGGAATAAGCATGACTAGTGACAACCCAACGGTGAGTTCGCTTTTGAATCAGTACTGAAAAAATGTAGCCGGTTAAAGTGGCTTGTGTGAATGTTCCAGGACAGTTTCCAGTAGCCAAAATATTCGACACAAAACCATTTCATCCTTTTTACTCCACGTTTTTGTGTGAAGAATATTAGGAGCCGCTATATAATCTATAAAAGCCACTAAACGAGTACCTAACCCTAATGATCGTAAAGGGGTGATTGATCATAAAGGGGATCCAAGGGTTAAGGATAGACTTCGGGTAATCTAATAGCCACTAAACGGGTTCCTAACCCTAATGATCGTAAAGGGGGTGATTGATTGTAAAGGGGATCCAAGGGCTAATGATAGAGAGTTCGGGGTAACCTACCCTAAAACTGGCGACATTTGGATGTGTTCAGCGCCAATATAATCCCTAATAAACTGCATTCTTGTGCATAATAATGAAAATTAATGAACCGAAAAAATAATATATGTATATTAGTTCCCATTTATAACCATTTTATCCACTTCAATTACGAGAAAAACGAAATAAAAAATATATAAAAAATAAAAGTGCTTTCGTAAACTAGCACTTGCTCTAAAATGCGTCGCCGAAGGCTATAATTAGTAAACAAATACTCAAAACTCTCAACACTGCAGGGCGTATTCAATGACATTGCGTGTAGAGATGATAGATCTCTGGGAGGAGCTTATGCACACTCGATGACCCCTGACGTCACTGGGCATTGTCTCGTTGGTGTGATTGGCAACAAAATACTACAAATTACGTCATAGGGTATGATCACGTTTTTGAAAGGTCTGTGGTACTGTATTCTAAAGGTAGGCCTTAGATTAATGTGTTATATTGGAAAAAGTAGAATGAGTGGTATTGCCTCTGTAAATTTAATTTGAAGTAGATTTAAGTCTCTTGCTTGGTAGCTATTTTTGTAAAACTAGTGTGGTCAGCTATGACGCAGTTATTCAAACTTCAAAGACTTTTGTGCCTTTTATGGAATAAATGTCACACGAAATGATTTATAAAGATATTTCCCATCAATATTACAAAATATGAATAATATAAAATGTCACATAATGACAAACGTGAGCCCAATAGCCTAAATGACTTCGTCAACCTAATGAAACCCTGGATTTAAAAATGTTGGCCCACCTGTTTCGATCACTATAAGACGGGAACAATGTGGGCCCACATTTTAGAAAATGGTTATAAGTAGGCCAAGCTAATGAAGCTAGCGATTTTTTAATGTGGTCCCTCCTTTTGCAATCACTATGACGGAAGAACGTCTACCCACTATATAGGCGATATACAAATGTGGGCCCACTTGTTTCGATCACCATATATGACGGGAACAATGTGGGCCCACATTTGAGAAAATGATTATCAATATTTAAGTAGAATTTCGCGATTAATAAATGTGGTCCCTCCTGTTGCAATCAATATGACGGAAGAACGTCTGCCCACATTTAGGGATTGATTATCAGAACTAACGAAACAACCTAACGAAGCTAGGCGAAATACAAATGTGGGCCCACTTGTTTCGATCACCATAGATGACGTGAAAGATGTGGGCCCACATGTTAGAAAATGGTTATCACCACTAAACCAATCTTAGAAGATGTACTGATGGAAACATAAATATATTATGCATTCAAACATTTAATTACCTTACGTTTTACCTCAGGGATAAGCTGGGCATTTAATAGCTAGACCAACAACGTGCAGCGTGGGTGACGCCATTTCTCGCAAATACGAAAACAACGGAGATAGCTCCCGTTTGAAATTAGAGTGACCTCCCTTTCCCAATATGAACCACTGATAATGCGGTTTCGCCCTTTTAGATACAATTATTTCCCGAATTATCCGTGGCACAACAAAATTAAGCTGTACATTATACAAACAAAAGAGACACACTGATGGCAACTGCCCACAATGCAATTCACCCAAGGATCTAAACCATGCATATTGGTGTCCCCTATAACAAGCTCACCATCCCCGATTTTACCATTCTCTTCCTTTACACTTTAAAATGTTCTGCCTTTACTCTTAAGTCCAATATTCTTCCGCAAGTCTTCACATCAATAACAAATTTAATAAAAAAATGTCATTCTACGAAAAACATCGCATAGATACATGTATCTATCTATCTATCTATCTGTCTATCTATCTATCGTTTCATTATTATTAACCTATATATCATTACTCTGAATATTTACCTTATTACTACTATTGTCCATACATACTAAAAAGAATACAACTCCTCTACATCCATGTCAAGTACTTATTTAATATATTGTAGATAATTCACAACTTCTCTGTAACTTAACATATGACTTAAATGGGCACTACCTTAGGTTATAGTTTTTGGACCAGGTGTTTTATATCTTTATTCACTATAATTATATATTATTCCTTGAAGCCACCTGTCCACATGTACGAAATTGAAACTTTCTGAAGTGGACGTAAAATACCTAAATGATGACGATTATACAGTTTTGCTTGACAACGATATGAGGACCTATACCAACACGTTTCTATTATAGTGAAATAAAGAATGGATGTTGTTATACATAAATTGTGTCCATTTTGGTCATCCGTCAACTTCTAAGAAATCAAACAAAACATGACAGTCGTAATTCTGTAGGCAGCGGTGAGGCCCATGTTTGTTCAAATGCGTCAGTTTCGTCTATGGCCAATAATGCTGGCGGCCTAGATAATATTGGGCGTTCTGGAATTAAACAAAGTGTAGGAAATAGTGAGTGAGTTACGTTTAACGCCGCTTTGAACAATGTTCCAGTTATGTCCCCGTGCCTGAGCTTGACTGAGAGAGAACCCTGAAGTGATGCAGATCTCAGACGTTTACCACGCGGGACGAGTACAGGTATGGTGTTGACAAACCTAGAAATATAATCGGGGAGAATCCGATTTCGAACCCAGAACCATAGGAACAACAGTTAACATTATTAACAATTCTACGAATACTACCTCTTTAACATAATTGCGCAATTCGTTTCTCAACTGGTTGTGGATAGTTTAAAGTGGAGAGGACTTCTGTTGAAGGTCAAAAGAGTTACAGTGTGATGACAGCCGATATACAGGACTACTGTCAATTGTGTACTTGAGGTAGGAATATAATTTTTTTAACAATGATAAAGGTTGTTTAAAAAACGCCGCGATCCGCTGTGCTGACTTGCTTCCCTTCGGCACGTCAGAAACCTATGAGTGTGGGTTCGAATCCAGGTTCACCCGATTATGTTTCTAGGTTTGTCAGCACCATACCCGTGCTCGTGGGTTTCACCGAAGTTGTAAATGTCTGAGACCTGCATCACTTCGGGCTTTCCTCCCACATTAAGCTGACACGCCGTGATATGACTGGAATACCGGTGCTGTAAAAAGCGGCGTTAAACCCAACTCACTCACTCACTCCTTACCAACAACCATTATGTGTTCAGTTAGTGCATACTGATGACGTTGACGGTGCCTGTCCAAACATTGATAATATCTCCTCGATACATATTTCATCGATTTCGCTCGATACATATTTGATTGTTTGTTTATGCGTGTGTGTTTATATGAACGTGTGTTGGCGTTTTCCATATGGCAGTGGTCAATGTTGACAATATTCCTGAAATCTCGCAATGTCGAGACTCGTTAGTTTTGCTGTAATTGTTTATAGAGAGACTGTTTTTGTGCCCAGTGATCTGCGTTAACGGAAACCTTTGGACACGGAGCGGCGGCAGCTTACTTTCATGAATGGTTTAGGTTTGTTTTACCAATTATCTGACGACGATTATCTGTAACTTTGTTCCTCGCCGTCTCTTTGTAATATTTTGTAGAATGATGTATGGACATAGGGGTTTATTGGTAATAGTATAGGAAATTTAGTCATTTCTAACTTTGTCTGCTACTGCCTATGACAATTCATGTATGGAATATGTGTTTTACACCGTCCCGTTGACCCGGGAAGATCCGGGTAGAGAATAGATCTTCAGAAACCCATACGTTCCGTAGGAGGCGACTATGCTGGTCGTAAGAGGCGACTAACAGGATCAGGTGATCAGGCCGGCTAACTTGGTTGATGCATGTCATCGTATCCCAAGTGCGTGGGTTGTTGCTGATGATGTCAATCACTGGATTGTTTGGTCCAGACTATTATTTACAGACCGACGTCATATAGCTGGAATATTGCTGATTACGGTGTTAAACAGCAAACAAACATATTCATTTCCGTTATATTGTTAGTTGTTTAGTCTTCTTTGAAACAAATGCCCTAAATTCATAAAATGTGTTAGAAAATGCATCTCAATAATGAAAGTGAGACGCGTGACCTGAATAGTCTACTGCGGGTTTTGATAATATGAATACGGTAAGTACGATGGTAACCACATATGAGGCCAAAGAATTACATTTTCCTGACATTCCTCTTGTTTTCATTCTAAACGTTTTAACGTGTATCATCCCTAACTCTTAATATTACTTTTTTTGTGTCCTACATTGACCAAGAGCGCCCTGTGCGTTGCCGATCATTAACATTTTGTGTCTGCAGAAATCTGTTCAAAAGTCTGCAAATCGCAGACTGAGACACAAAATATTGGCCACCTCTAGTTGAGTCCTATCAGTTTGAAGCATGCCAATAGCCATTAGGCGTTCATCATTCTTAATCTTATCAAATATACTGCATAAAAGAAAGGATGAAGGGCTTATGTGTTATAATGACTACATCTTGTACGAGCTTGTAACAGTATATCATCAGTAAAATGTTCAGCGATACTTACCAGCTGTGACCAGGCACTGCCTGAGTCCAGTACTAGCTATAACTGCAGCACCGCATTACGCCAGTCCCTGACTTGATAGTGTTACCTTCACTTACAATAAGTCACATGACCAGACCGGGTTTGGCCACATGCGCTGTATACAAATGCGCCACGTCTGTGCAATCCAACACAAAAGGAGAAACATATAACGTCCTACTGGTGACAGGTAGAGATATAAACTCATATTCTGTGACAACAGCACTGGGCCCTACTCCCATGAATGGCGCTGTACAGTTTTTTACTATATTTTAATAAATTTGTAAATACATCGTACCAAATGTACCAAATGTATATGACTATGCCTGTTAGATGATCAGATGATACATGGCTGCTCTTGTGCAGTTTTATTTTATCTTTTAGCAGTTGTTATTGACTTGTTCATCCTCTCTAATGTATCATGTAGTGTAACTATTCAATTCCAGGTTGTCGGTGTTGTTTAAATCTATTATCATGCAATACATTCAATAACTAATTCCCCTTTACCAGTTTAAACCTGAGTGATGTGTTGACCCTTTCAAGCCTATTTGAGGCCCACATACCACCACCACTGGCAATCGAGATGTCCCAGCTAAGTCATGATTTCACAAAACGACATTCTTATACATTGCTCTCATTTGCAGATCAGCTATGATTCTAGTTGAATTGCCATGGAATGATATCAGCAACAATTAAATCACAACTAGTACTACAACAATAATTACAATGTGGGTGTCGACATGTCACACCAGTACAGGGGGCGGTGATTGGGAATTAATACAATGTACACCTGTATATAGAGGGGGTCGACTTGTCACACCAGTACAGGGGGCGCTGATTGGGAATTAATACAATGTACACCTGTATATAGGGGGGTCGACTTGTCATGTCAGTACAGGGGGCTGCGATTGGGAATTATATAATGTACACCGGTATATAGAGAGTGTACTTGTCACATCAGTACAGGGGGAGGCGATTGAGAATTATACAATGTACACATGTATATAGAGGGTCGACTTGTCACATCAGTACAGGGGGCAGTGATTGGGAATTATAAAATGTACACATGTATATAGAGAGTCGACTTGTCACATCAGTACAGGAGGCGGTCTTTGGGAATTATACAATGTACACCGGTATATAGGGTGTCGATTTGTCACATCAGTACAGGGGGCTGCGATTGGGAATTATACAATGCACTCCTGTAGTGGGTCGACTTGTCACATCAGTACAGGGGGCGGTGATTGGGAATTATAAAATGTACACATGTATATAGAGAGTCGACTTCTCACATCAGTACAGGAAAAGCGATTGGGAATTATACAATGTATACATGTATATAGAGAGTCGACTTGTCACATCAGACCAGGGGGCGGCTTTGGGGAACTATAAAATGTACCCATGTTTATAGACAGTGTACTTGTCACATCAGTACAGGGGTAGGCGATTGGGAATTATACAATGTACACCGGTAGAGATAGTCGATTTGTCACATCAGTACAGGAAAGGCGATTGGGAATTATAAAATGCACACCTGTATATAGAGAGTCGACTTGTCACATCAGTACAGGGGGAGGCGATTAGGAATTATACAATGTACATATGTATATAGAGAGTCGACGTGTCGCATCAGTACAGGGGGCGGTGATTGGGAATTATACAATGTAATGATGTATATAGAGAGTGTACTTGTCACATCAGTACAGGAGGCGGTCTTTGGGAATTATACAATGTACACATGTATATAGAGTGTCGACTTGACACATTAGTACAGGGGGCGGCGATTGAGAATTATATAATGTACACATGTTTATAGACAGTGTACTTGTCACATCAGTACAGGGGGAGGCGATTGGGAATTATACAATGTACACATGTATATAGAGAGTCGATTTGTCACATCAGTACAGGGGGAGGCGATTGGGAATTATACAATGTACACATGTATATAGAGAGTCGACTTGTCACATCAGTACAGGGGGAGGCGATTGGGAATTATACAATGTACACCGGTATATAGAGAGTCGATTTGTAAACACAGACGTACAGTATGGTTTGTTTTCAGGTAACGTATACGACTACTGTTGTTGAGTTGGGGTTGTCACAGCACAACTTGTAAACAATGAGTGGTCGAAACTAATAGTCAACACATTTAATTGAAATAGCCATGGTGTCACTTTTATCCACTGTCATGAATCTTTTGAATGATATTAGCATGTGCAAAGTTCTAAATATGCTACATTTCAATGCGTGAACATTCACAACAACTTTGTTGGGATCTCTGTTGTCCACACAAATGTGCTGGTGTCATCGCCGGGCGTGGGACAAGACTTGACTGTTATACAAATCAGCTCGAAATAGATTCTGCATTTCAAAAGGTATCGTTTAAACGATTGAAATACAACTTCTAGCGAACAGTAATGTCTTTTCCATTTCGTTTGAAAAGGTTCGTCTTATATGAATAACCCCTCACTTTTACTGTACGCCTAAAATGCACCTAACGGTAATGAATCACTGCAAAATACCCGAACGCTGCGAACATTCAGAGAGACGTGTATACATTCAGAGAGACGAGAATCTATGTGTACGTGAAAAGTGTGAATGCAAGTTTATGAAAAGTGTTATAATACGTATCGGAGCATGAAGACATTCGATGATCTGGTCACGGTGCCGTGTTTTATATACTGTTTATCGTTCAAACTATTTTCCATGTGTTCATGCGTACACAAATCACATAGGTCTCCTGATTACAGGAACAAGAAAACTAAACAGTGAGTTGTCAAATTAAAAACTAAACAATGAGTATTGTTAGGGTATGATCTTACATATCTATGTCCCGCATTTCAACAACTGAACATGTTCTTCCAGTTGTCAAAGGAAATAATGTTCGAGGCAACGCTGGGAGTCTAAAACTGCTTCTTTGAATATATCTTGTTTTGAATCCACCCCAACCATTTGCAAATGAATATGATTGTTATAATTAATCCTAAACAGGTTTTTTCAGTAAAATAATACTTGTCCCTATGGTTGTTTTTTTTAGGTGTAAAAGTGACTTGTCTTTGCATGTGTTTGTGACGGGTGCCACCGATGGGGTAGGATACACTCATCTTTCTCGAACTCCCGGTATCATCACTATTTTATAATGATTTATAAACACATGCTCATTGCTTATAATGTCGTTGGAATCGTACTTTCGACTCTGTGTTTTGCAGAGATTTCTTTTGATTATGGAAAGGTTTTTTTTCACTTTTATTAATACATATTGCCATAATTGATAAGGTATATCGCTTTAAATGTTGACTGGTTTTAGTGATGACCGGTTAAAGTGTTGACTGGTTAAAGTGTGGACGGATTTAAATCTTCACTGGTTGAAGTATAGACAGGTTAAAGTGTTGACTTGTAAAATTGCTGACTGGTTTAAGTGTTGACTGGTTTATGTGTGGACGGGTTTACGTATTCAAGGATTTACTTGTATTTTTTAAAGATGAGTTTAAATGTTCCCTGGTTTGAGTATAGACCGGTTAAAGTGTTGTTTTAATTGTTGACTGCTTTAAGTGTTTCCTGCTTTAGGGTTGACTGGTGTAATTGTTGACTATTTGTAACGTGGACTTGTTTAAGGGTTGACTGGTTTACGTGTGGAAGGGATTAAGTGTTGAATGGTTAACTTGTTAACTGTCTTCAGTGTAGACTGGTTTAAATTGTCACTGGTTTAGGCACAGACGGGTTAAATATGTTGACGTGTTGAATGGTTGATTGGTTTAAGTTTTGACTGGTTTAAGTGTTTACTGGTTTAAGGGTCAACTGGTTTAAGTGGTGACTGGTTTAAGTGTTTACTAGTTAAGTGTTGATTGGTTAAAGAGTAAATTGGTTTAATTTCTGACTGAGGTTAGGTTAGTGTTTAAGTGTGGACGGGACTGAATGTTGACCTGTTTAATTGTCGACTGTTTCTTGTGTAGACTGGTTTAAATGTTCACTGGTTTAAGTACAGACAGGTTAAAGTGTTGACTTATTCAATTTGTTGACTGGTTTAAGTGTTTTCTGGTTTAGGCTTGACTGGTTTAATTGTTGACTGTTTGAATTGTGGACTGGTTTAATTGTTGACTGGTTTAAATGTTGACTGGTTTAATTGTTGATTGGTTTAATTATTGACATGTTGACGTGTTACGTTCCTAATGTTGATTTAAAGTGTCACGATTAGTGTACGTATACATTACAAAAAAATATTTATATTGCTCTCCAATGATGTGTATTGTTTGTGTGGAGGGCCCACGTAACTTATTCCACGTGTTCATGTGGAATCATTTTCTTTTGTCACATACAAACGGCAGCTTTGACTATTGTTGGCAGAGCTGTTAAAATATATTGGTTAGACCTTCAACATGTTCCTCATTTAAACATGCCAAATGAAGATTCTGCATTCTGATTGGTTCATCTTGTAAATAACAGAATGATCAGATGTAAATGTACAAATACATCAGGGTAAAGTTCATGGTAATAGGAGTCCAAGTTGCGAGTTAGATATTGGTCTGTTACAACATGAATTGATACACCATAATGGGGTATTTGTATTTATTTTGTCCTTATGGCCTGGCAACAAATATCGATATTTCTATTTGACAATATTTGTTACAATTATAAAAAATTAATATATTGATTCAGTAGTTTGAAACCTTTTGATTTTTCAAACACCTCTCGTTTTCTACGAATAGAAGGAGTGTTTATGCCTTATTACTGTCCGCTCCAATTTTGAGTTGCTTGGATTGTATCAGCAAACATTTCAATACTGTAATGCATTAAACACATTCGCGCTTTTTGACGGGGTTGACCTTCGAAAACAACAGTAACCGGGGAGATGAATATTGAAGGAGATGAATGGAATGCAACTGACTGATCAGTTTACTTGCCTATCCCCGAGGAAAGCATGAATCTGTGTATGTCTGGAAAGTTAGGTAAATATTTTCACATTGCATAATTCTTTAATGGTTATTCCAGAAAGCAAAGTTATTATCAAAATGATTGAACCTCATTTGTAGAAATGAAATCCATCAATATATTTTGTTTATATA